AATACTGTAAATGGAGAAAATTATGAACATTATATCAAAATTGTAGGTGTGAATAAAACTGGCATAAAGCTGTAAAGGGATGGAATAAAGGGGGAGGGAGAGAGAGAGAGAGAGAGAGAGAGAGAGAGAGAGAGAGAGAGAGAGAGAGAGAGAGAGAACACGCAACAAGCTGGAAAATACGTAATATTGATCAGCTTTAATACAGTCAGGTGCCATCACCGCATTTAAAGATGACTGCAATTGATCTACTGCACCAAATGTCTCGGGTCCCGGATGAACACTCTCTTAGACTGTTATCTGTTTATCTCTTGACTTTTATCATTCCACTTGTATCTCGGTGTGTCTTTTGCCTGCTTTTCTTCAACTGTTCCTTCTAGTAGCTTTTATTATAGTATAATAATATTTCTGATATATTTCGTTTGTCTCTATTTAATTTCTTTTACCAACTCTCTGTTCCTTGTGTCACCGGGGCCTCTGTAATTATTTGTTTCGGTTTTTGCGAGACACGACCTATTCTTTTACATCAGCTTTAGGCAATTGTAATTACAACAAAAACCAAAAGATATTGTAGTAAAGGTATTCACACAACACAACGAGGAAGGGGGAAACAACCACAACTACTCAACAGACTATAATACACCATCATCATCATCACCATCATAATAATAATCATCATCATCATCACGATCACCATCATCATCTTCCACTTCCAGTTCGATATGTTGCCTTTTTAACAGACTTAGGGAGCATATTATAAAGCCCTTATTGGACATGGAAGTCAATGCCGTTAATCCATCTTTTAGCCCTTGGTTACGCTCTTGCTCTTGTATCATATCTTCTTTCGCCTTGCGCCTTTTATGATGTTATAGTATTTAGTAAGTAAACGTGTGAGACAGAAATAAAGAAGCATCATAAAATGACATATTTAGTTAGGCAACGGCTGACATTACAAACAAGTATTTCATTACCACTCGCCGTGGTGTAGCAACTAGACGATCGCCTGCGGATTGGACGGTCGTGGGTTCGGGTCCTGAAGGTACTGGGCTTTCCTCAAAAATGGCTTTGGCTCCCAGGTCAAACTAGCATTGAGTGGGTACCGGGTGCAGTACTGGGAAGTAAAGGCGACTGGCGTGATGTTGACCAAGTGCCTGCCGATTGGTCTACAAAATATATCTTTAGCCCTTTATGCGCAATAAGACTGAAAGTGTGGAAAAGGCTTCTTTACTTTTTCTATTTTTTATTTCATTACTATCTGTGTGTATACTTTTCTTTCACGTGTTTCCATAGTATTAGAAAAATTGTACCGCTTCCACGGTGGAAGTTGGCGGTTGTGTATTCACTGCTGACTATAGGAATATTGCGGGATGAGGTCCAGTCCCTTCCACGAGGCAAAAACTGCCATTGGAAGAACAAATGAGAGAACAGTCTTTTTCCCCCAGACAACTCATTAAGGCAATCGGACACTGGTCAACTTCAAGGATTACACAGTGAAACCGCTTCACTAACCTCTGCATGACAGATTCGCAGTGAATACATCATAATGTTTGCTAATGAGGGTTTGTAACCGAAACGTCAGTTGTTGTTGTTGTTGTTGCTTTTTTTTTTTTGTAATTGTATTTTATAAAGCTGAAAAATATTGCGTATTTTCAATTTGTTGACACTATTGTGATTAAACTATGAGGGGACCAAACTAAGCAATTACTTGTTTATAATTCTGTTCTAGCGAATGTGTGTGTGTGTGCGCGTGCGCGAGAGTACGTGCCTGTGTGTGTGTGTGTGTTTGTGTGTGGGTTTTTTTAACTACTTCCCTTAAAAGAGCAGTTGGTACCTTGTCGACAGTTACCTGCAAGTTTTCGAGGTCTAAGAAACAGTAATGAAGTTAAATGAGGCATTAGACGATAAAGACCACATTTCTGGAATGAATAAAACAAAGACTCAACTTACGACCCTGGTCTGGCGAAAGAAACTCTAAACGAGTGACTTTAAGCCCCATCAGAACGGCAGAACGAGCAAATAACACTCAGTGACACAAAGTTCCATCATTCAGATGAGAATCCCCAAATACCAAGTCCCAGAAAATGTGTTTCGCCCGTTAGGTTACTATTAGGGCCTACGACCACAGCCGGGTAGGGCTCTGAAATAACAACAACAACAACACCAGCAAATTGCATCCATATTGGGGTTAATCTTAAAACTTTACATCCGTGAATGAGTAACATTTAACCCCACTAGGAAAGCACGAGTGATTGACAGCCGGTGACACGAAGTGCCATTATTCAGACAAGAATCTCCCGGGCGCATATCTCAGAAACCCCCTTGAACAGTTAGATTACATATTAGGGGACCCCAACGATATAAGTGGGGCTTTAAAAAAAAATGTACATCCTATACTGAGACCGAGTTATATGTAGTTCACCCCCACCAGGATCAGGCCACGAGCGACCAACACCAGGAGACACAAAGTGCCACCATTCGGATAAGGATCACCCGAACACAAGTCTCAGAAATCCTCTTCAACCGATAGGTTATGTTAGGGCTTCCAACTATATCCGGGATGGGGCCTTAGAATAACAAAAACGCGTGCCACATTGGGACTACAATGTGAATTGAGACCGTAAATATGTAATAAACTTGCGATATCTATAGACCTATATTTACCTCATCTGTGCGGTGTTTTCTAGTTCAAGAGTTTAAAAAAAAATTATTGTTGTGAAATAATAATTAACAAAGCTTTCATGGTCTAGGCATGTTGTTAGGATATAGAACAAGAATACGTAGGGGGAAAAAAAAAACAAGAAATCCTTCTAGGGAAGGCCACTCTGTCATCAATTCATAAAAATCAACTTTGAGTTGGTTACGTCCCTTTACTATAACAATTAAAATTTGTAAAGAATTTTGCAACAGTTATCTACGGTTTTTTTTTTTTTCATCTGCATAATAGTTAACTGTATCAAATCACACAGGTCCTCCTTCTTTTTTTCTCCCTTCCTCAACCGCCACGTTCTGAAAACAATCCTTTTGTCTAATTTTTAGTCAAAATAATTTGAAATTTTTTTTTTTTTTTTTTAAATTGATGTGTTACGACCCTTCGTTACCCAAATACCTTTATGCATGTAATTGTAGGTGCTTTTCTATTTCACAACTTCACCAAACCGACGCCAGCATTATTGCCTGTTAGTCATTTTGCTATGACATTTTGTGTTCCGTTGTTTGCCGTTGCTGATTTAGCTGTCGGCTGTCGATACCATTGTGAAAATTAATGTAAAACCGTCTGCTGCCAAATCTTCAGCAGCTGAAATCGATCTAGCAATGACAAACTGGCTTTTGCAGAGCCTAATTTACAATTACTTTTATAAATGCAGTCCAATATTAGTTTTCCAGTTTTGACAGACAGACAGAGTTGCCTTCCCTAGAAGGATTTTTTTTTTTCCTACATATTCTTGTTTTATATCCTAACAACAAACCTGGGTCATGCAAGCTTTGTTAATTTTTATTTCACAAGAATTATTTTTTTAATCTCTTTTTTTTTTTTTTACCTCTACTGCCAAACGAGTTAAAATGTGCTAACAAAACGGAAGAATTTATCAGTATGAGCAAAGAAGTGTGCACAAAATAGAGATTTACTAAATTAGGAATCGATATTCTAGCACACAGGGCACACCTATAGATGATCTACCTCCCACAGCGAGAGTATTAAAGTGTCGATGCTAACAGTTTGCGTAGCACGCTGATTATTTATACACACGTCCTTCTCTTCCTCTCATGCATCCCTCTTTGCCGGATCCACACCTTATTACTGTTTACACATTCTTACATACGTTTTTTTATTTAATCCAACCTATTCTCTTTTGTCAGCATTCGTTCATAAATGGTATTTAGAAAGTCTCATTCGAACGGTATGACGGTTCCAGCAGCTATCGATTTGTAGCCATAAAATCCGCTCTTTCATTCCCTTGTACTCCTGCATTTCACCAACTGTATAAAAGTAAAGATCTCTTTTCACGCATTTAGGCGCATAGAAAATATGGGAAGAGCACTCATATTTTTTTGACAGACCACTCGGCAAAACGTGGGTAATGTGGTCAGCATTTCGCCGGCCGTCTTTACTTCCCCAGGTCATACATCCTAGTACCCATTTTAGGCTGGGCTGAACTGTGACGCCCCATATCATGATAAGAATCCTCGCAGCCAGCAGTGGCTTTCGATTGCGATACGTTGGAATTACTAGTCGGACTCGTAGCGCCTAAGCCACGGACACTGCACCCACTGTATAACCACGTATATATATATATATATATATATATATATTATATATATATATATATATATATATATATATATATATATATATATATATATATTTTTTTTTCACGTGTTCAATCTTATTTGCAAATTGGGCTAGAACTATATTTTATAGATAAATCGGTACTTGATGGGTGATGGGGTCGCCAGCTTGATCTTCTCATGACTTTTATCTGGTACGGACTCATTCAAGGTCAGGGCGACCTGGGAGTCAAGTTCATATATGAAAAATTCCAGCTTTCGGATTTGAAGCCGCGATATTGGAATCAACAGGCAGATATCTAACCGCCACACTACGGTGTCTTCCCAGTAAATCCTCACGAGTCCCTGTAAAGTTAACACGCTGATACTTGGTATCCACTCATTCCACATTTGCTTATTTTGAACCTTCCGTAGTCAGTTAGTTGCGTATTTTGTACAGGCGCAACAACAAAAATGCGTCCCAAATTGGGGCGTGTTTCAACTAAAGAGACTGTACAACGAAAACATCCCTACAGAGTTCTGCAAAGATCTTTCCCTCTACTCGAGCTGAAAAACTCCCAGCCAGATCTTTCATCACCGTGAAAACAACTATCTGTGTTCGCTACTGCATCTTCTAGTCTAGCGCTTTCATGGATCAGGTGATTTACCTCGGAACTAAGTCTTTCTGACAATTACTTGCATTAAAATGTGTCTGTCTGTCTGTCTGTCTGTCTGTC